TCTTCATACTTTTTGTGTCTGAGGCAGGATGAAACCATTCGTTATGGATCTGTAGGCCTAGTACAGTGGAGCATTTTTCTAAAGATTATGATTTTCCACACTCAAAATCGTTACAAAAAATTTAGATGCATGTTTCAGTATCCAATTTGTGTATTTTATAGCCATAGGTCATTGATGTAACAGTTGCACAAAGCATATAAAAGAGATAAATATAAGCAAGTGGATATTTTTTTCATGAAGGAGCTGTTTTTAAGACTGAAAAATATTGAATGGCAAAACATCAGTTATATCTGGATAACCTGCCATTCTCTATTGCTTTACTTCACTCTCCACTATTCCTTTTCCTCCCTTGCCAACTGTTTTAAAGTCACTTTTTGACTTGCAGCTTTTTGGTGTGAATTTTTTGTGAAGTAGTGTTGGTGAAAGTTTTCCTCTAAGAAGCAAAACCAGTTGTAGTTGTTGCTGCCCTGCCACTTCCATTAGCAGCTGTTGCTCTGAGTCTTGCAGAGAAGATACCAGAGAATTTTAAAAGGTCTGTTCTTTCATTAAATCTCAGTTACCATGGGCCTTTTGCTTGTTTGGCTCAAGATTATAATGAAGTCTCATAATTTGGAGGAATTGCTGCCAAATTTTTCTTTCCATTATTTTTTCTTTAGCAGAGAGAGATCAAAGTAGGTGTAGCACCTGATCTTGCTTTTCCTGCAGACAGTCAGATACATTATGGTCTGTTGGGAGGGAGAGGTCTATTCATGAAATCATTTTATAATGATTTCTCTGTTGTTTTTCATGGCTAACAGAAAACAAACAATAAAAATTTCCTAGCTTCATGACTGTAATGTTTTTATAAATGTCTCTATCTGTGTGTTGGAAAAGGATTTGTCTTCATGCTTGATTCTTCTCTTTAAAGATTCAGATTAATCCTAGAAGTGTTTACTCAGATGTGTTGAATTACTAGTGGATGAAATTACATTGTTGTGAGATTGACTCATCGTCCTACTGTGCTCCCTCAGTTGGGAACACTGACTTCCATCTTTGAAGAGTTTGCTCCCTTGAAGACCTGAGTTTTACACAGATGACATATCTGCCTTGTTAGAGATGTAGAGGGTTTCTGTGGCTGGATTGAGATGATAATAAAGGATAAGAGAAAAAAAAAAGACTAGGGATAAGACAACTGGAAGGGAAGGGAGAGTAATACCTACCTCTTTGACTCACTCATTGCCAAAAGAGATGTGCAGGGTCATTAAGTGAGATGAGGAGAGTGGGGTATGGTTTAGTATATATCAATTGATAAATAGTTTGAAATTCCCTGATGCCATTTAAAGAATTATCCCAGCAGCTGGAGTATATGGCAGCAAAAGATTATCTTGGTGTGGTTGTATGTTTTATGAAGTCACTGTACTTCAGTCTCCAAGTCTTTATGTCTTTTATAATCGATGTGAGAGTGTTGCTTGGTGGCTAGAACATGCCGCATCCTGGTGTCTCCCATCATTCTGTGTAAAAGGGGAAAAGTAATTGCTTCTCTGGAAAGCTTTTTTTAGTTCTGTGGTTCATAATATGACTGTGATTATTAGAAGTAGATTTTATTTTGTACTCTTCTAAACCACTTTAATCTTATCAAGAGTAGATTGCAGATGTGAAGGAATTTGGACTGAAAGCCTCTAGGAGAGCAGTGTTGTTGAGCATTTCTGCATAATTCTATGAGAGTTTTCACAGCAAAATGAAAAGGAAAATTGTTCCTTGCTGTACTCTGCATTTTGCTAAATACTGTTCATTCCCAATAGCTAAAATAGCCTGAATACCATGAGGGCTTCTTACTAACCTATAACTATGTTAATGCCTTTCTCGCCACAGGGGTAGTTTCTCCCCAGTAAAAAGCCCAAAAATTGCACACTGCAGAATGCACACCACAGATATTGCCAACAAACTGCTACTGCAACCTTCCTGTGAAAACGAAGCATTATTAAAAAGGCTGCCTTGCTTTGGGGAAAACTTTCAGAGGAAACTAGTTGCTGTGAAAGGAAAATCTGGTATGATGGAAGTGTTTGATTGGGTGCTTTGTTGACCTTTAGATGCTCAGTATCTGCAAAGTACATGTGCCAAAAGTCTGTTTTTTTAGTAAATGCTCTGTTACTTTTAGCTTTATGGAACTCTGAAAATAATTTAAATAGGCTGTGGGCGTGGGGAGAGGTTGGTCTTTCTCACAGACTTTGGCATTTCCAGTTCTGATAACACGAGGGCCAGTTATGTATGGATACCATTTGGTGGTTAGCCTGCCTTCAAAGTAACAGTTTGGTGTGCCTGTCATTTAGTAGTTAGATAAGATTTAGATTTGGGTTTAGATACCATAGGAGAGATTTGTATATTTGAGTCCTGAAGAAATGAAAATAAAACTCTGAACCAGGTCCTAAAGCTGAAGATCTTGTCTGAAATTCCTAATGAGGTCCTCAAGCAAGGTTGACTTGACCTTAGTACGGCACTGCAGGCTGGTTGGGGGAGGAAGGGGGAAGAGGGGTGTCTCATCTGCATGTCTCAGACAAAAGTTAGTTATTATCTGTCCTGGTACTTTAACAGATATTAGGGAAAATGACATGTATGTTTCCATGAATTTAAGCACATTCCCTAGGTAAGAAGTGTGCAGGAAGTTCATCATGGGGCCTGGTGTAATGCTGTGGTTCTGCTATGTGGAATTCATCTTTTAGACCCATAGTTCAGGAGAAACCTTCCTGGTTGTGGTGTTTTACCGCTTGCACAGAATGGGCCAAAGAATTTCCTACACAAATTTTAATTTATTTATATTAAGGCACAGAGGTTGTTCTACTTATTTACATTTCTGAATTTAAGCTTTCCCTTTGCAACTTAATATAACTCAAATATAAATGTATCTTTATAAAATCATTGCGCTACTGGAGAGGAAGATGCTTGTATGCGCTTATGGCACCTGGAATAGTGATAGGACAAGGCTTTTGGGCTAGCACATCTTAACCATTGCATTCTAGACCTGTTAAATGCCTACAAATGATCTAAAATAACATTTATATTGCATTTTATAGCTCTGAAAGTGGAAGGTGTCCCTGCCCATGGCAGGGGATTGGAATCAGAGGATATTTAAGATCACTTCCAACCCAAACCATTTAATGTTTCTATGTGTAAAGATTATTAAGTGACAAATTTGACAGTGATGCTGGGAGAAATGAGCTGTCACTTATTCAGCTCCTCGTGCTGTCAGCTTTGGAATTGTAGATGACAAACAGTGGCAAAAGCTCTTGTTTTGCAACAAAAACAGCCATTATACTTGCACTTTGCCTCGTGGACACCTTTTGGTCTGTTGTCAGAAGAGCCTGCACTCAGCTCTCCAAGGTGCTGTAGCTTCTTTTCCTCTAGTGATTTCTGATGTGGTTACTGTTGTCAATAGAGAAATTGCTGGCAGATTGAAAATGTGGGGGCAATGTCAAATGAATTGTTGCTTAAAAATGCACAGAAGATCCTGATTATTTGGTTGTACTAGTTTACATTTATTCTTAATTTCTAAAAGTTATGACTTTTTTTTTTTTTGTAATTGGAACAGAGTAGCCATAGAATCAACAGATTGCTGCCCTTTCAAGCAACAACAGTCAGGGCTAAGCTTGTTTCACGAAAGACTGTCTGGGCTTTGTCATCTCTGAAGACAGCCAGGAGTTGTCTAAAGACAGAAAAAAGTTGCACTTGTAGTCATGTTCCAGTTCCACAGAGATCTCTGAAAACTGTATTTACCTAGTGAGGGAATAACAACCATATTTATTTCTTGAATAGCACTAAGAATGATAGTACCACATGTTCCAGTGCCTAAAAATGAAACGGTTTCTCGGTGTTTTCTCCTTTGACTTCTGTGTTGGCAGGGCATGTGGTGCCTGTGGCACAGCAAGAGCCTTGAGGTGGCTTCGTGGTGGTTGACCAGAATCTGACAAGGCCATGGAGAAGTGGGCTAGCAAAGTGAGCTCAGTGTGAAATGGGGCTGGCTCGGTGGGAAGAAAGCTGTTGTCATACATGTAAGAGTTAATTATAGTTTGGGCGGTGGAAAGAGTTTCCTGGAGCTGAATGCTAGTCAAATTAGAAACACTGTGCAGATACACAACATTTATTTGCCTGATCATCTCTCTTTCTGCCTCATGCTGAAGGTGTAGTAGAAATGAGAAGATTTTCCCTTACGTCTTTCATGTGCAGTTCAGTTACTCAACTTTTTTGTTTGTTTTTTTTCCTCTCTCTCCTGCCTCCCACAACTCATTCTCCAAACTGCCAACTACAACTACGGCTTGTAATAATCTGAAGTGGGAAGATTTCAAAGTACAGAAGCTCTGCCAAAGTTTTTTTGTGGTTTTTATCCAAGATCACTTCTTCTATTTCTGTGGTTTACTTGGGGCTACATATTCATCTACATGAAGATGATGATCAGAGTGGAAAATACAGGCATTTCGTAATTGGCCTAACAATTACTTCTCATGCTGTAGAAAAAACACAGACATAAAAGTCATGCTTACTCTCAAAATATCTGCTTGTCAGAACCCATTTGCAAAAGCTCTCCATCGTATCCTTTTTGTAGTGAACTGATAACAAGTGGGTTTATTCCTTTGCACAACACTTCTCAAAAAAAAGCATTGTATTTGTTCATCTTTTCTTCCATTGCTTATCTTTTGTTCTTTTCTAGTGGAATAGTTTTCTCTTTCTTCAACTACTACTATTTTATATATAGGCTGAATGGCTAACTCTTTTTAAAGGTACTTGTAAAGTGCCTCTGTCAGAAGACTTAGGTATCTCTGTTCTTGTATCTCTGCAAATTGAAATCAAAAGAGAGATCATGTCTGTATTTCTGACTGGTTGTGTTGGGTCATTATTTAAGGAGCAAGATGGGAAATGGGGCTGCTAGAGAACTCTGGAAGATTTGCCCAAACTTGCTGTTAATGGCACAGGATATTTTCATCCCTCTCTTCTCTGCCTTACTCTTTTCCTTTCTTTTTGCATTTCAGGACTCCTTCAGCTCCTTCATCATAATGCAATGCATGCCCATGTCAAAACCTGACACTTTGGGGAACTGCTGGTCCAAGGCTGACTCTTTGGTTCTGCTGTTGACTGAGTCCTTGGGTTTGAAGTTTCATTGACCTTGCTGAGATTGATGCTTGGACCTTCAAGAGAAGAGACTTTCTGATGGTCCTGCTCCACTCCACCTGACCCTATGAAAGGAGGGTTCACCATAGCTCCGTCCTTTGCTCTCCAGTTCCACAGGATGGGTTCATTCAGAAGGCCCCGACCTCGCTTCATGAGCTCCCCTGTCCTCAGTGATTTGCCTCGGTTCCAGGCAGCCCGGCAGGCTATGCAGCTCAGCTCCAACTCTGCCTGGAACAGGTGAGCAGGATCTACCTGGGCTGAGCTCTTGCCCTACAGCAGCTCCACAATGAGGGCCATGTGTGTCTTATCTTTGTGCTTCACACCATTTATAGCTAATCTCGTCTGTTTATAAGCATGCCCGAATTTTTGGCATGCCTGAATTTTGCTGGTATTGAAAGCATCCACGGAGGTGAAAAATTTAGAGCTAGTAGTGTTCAATTGGTTTTGGCCAATGCTGTTCAGTGGTACTGTCTTGAAGTAAAGAAGAACTGTCTTTTGTTAACAGTTGCATTTTTTAAGAATCCTTTAGGAAAACATATTCCTCGTACTGTAATAAATGTCAGTTTCTTAATTCATAGAGACATTTATTTGCATATTATGAAGGTTTTATCACAGTCAAGTTCCTCTGAAAACTACTAAGCTTGTGGCTTCTACCAGCATTTCCTACTGACAACCAAGTCCTGTCTGCAGTGTGTGTCATATAGCAGTGGTAACTGAGAAAACAATGTGAAGGGTGAAGGCTGAGATGTCCTGTGTCCTGATCTGATTTAATGGTCTGCTGATACCAAAAGTGGGTGTTCCCACCTTCCGCCACCTGGACCTGCTCTGTGCTCTGCAGACCCCTCTCTCGTTCTGAGCCAGCTCAGTTGACCAATGTTGCACAAAAGTGGCCTGGCAAAACCACTGCAGTTTTGTGCCGTGACAGTGAGCTGAGGTCCGTGAAGCATGTAGATCCCATAACTGGCCCACAGAAGGGAATGTCCATTAAGGGAATGACACCTGCTCTTATTAGCCAAGACAAGCCTTTAGACCTGCTAAAGCACCTTATATGCTGTCACTTTATGACTTCCTCTATGCTGGTGAGAGAGGTATGAATTAGAAGATACTCAAACAGCTTCCTACAGGCATTAACAGGGCTTAAGCTTGGATGTGACTTAGGTAATGCTCACTTGTAGAACATCTTCCAGCACAACCAGGGTCTTGACAGATGCTGCAGATTGGGTGGTTCTTGCTAGCATCACTGCATAATGTAGTGTGATGTGTTTGGCAGATATTACCAAAAATTTGTGTCTCCTCATAGCAATTAACCTGCAGCGCACAGCAAAGATCCCCTAAACAGTTGCATTCAAGATATATCTGGCATGAACAGTGTCCCTCTAATGACTTTCCCTTGCTTACTCTAGACAGAACTGAAGGTAGATTCTGCTCTGTCTCCCAGGACAGATGTAGGTAAATAAGTGATAATTTCAAGGCAAGAAAGAGTGGAAGTATTTAAGGGCAATTAACTTCTCCACCTGGTCATAACCACTTTGCTTTTGGTGTCTAGCTCACATTGTGCTCTATGTTAAATCATACTGCTGGCTGTTATTTATGGATGTTGTACTGTCTCATTTCTTTTCTGACAGTGTTCAAACAGCAGTGATAAATGTGTTCAAAGGAGGAGGCTTGCAAAACAATGAACTTTACACCCTCAATGAAAATATCAGGTAGGTTATTGAAATGCATGAAAAGGAATTTTTGTTGCTGCCTGTTTGGTGTTTGCTTGGGTTTGTTCCCTTACAGAACCACAGTTAGAGGATATTGGTGGGAGGAACAGGGGTCAAAGCAAACTTAAGCACAGCTTTGGGATTTCAGGCTAACTTGCTTCTTTCTTGCTATTGGGTGAAGTGAATGGCATGGGGTACTTGGATAATGTTTCTCTGACTTGCATGGATATGTAGCTTTAACAAGGACAGCTTGTTTATTGACTTCAATTGTAAGGATTTTGTCTCTTCCTGGGGACTACACCCCTTCTGGCTATTTTTACATATTTTTATCACGGAAATCGCGAAGATAGTAACATCTCTTTTCTAAAACCAAGCTTCTCAGAACTGTGGAGTGTTTAAAGCAAACCACAGCATTTCATTGAACAGGTTAATCTTCACATGATAATTGCACAGCAGGACCTGAAAACATGTACCCCAAAGATAAAAAACCTAAAACCCTAGCAAACATTTTCTGGCACTGATGCTAGTGATGGTTAAGAGTATCATTTTCTTTTAAAGGTAGGTTTCATAATTATCTGTGGTTTCATTCTGATTAGTTGGAAAGTTTGATTAGCAATAGATAGGGCTGTAGAGTAGATAAAGAACAATTTATTCTTGCCTTGGTTCCAAGTGCTGCTAAAAGGAGTACTGTCAGGGCTCATGGATGTAGGTTTCTCCTCCTCTCTTTACCACTTACATCCATATTTATTCATCAAGAATGCTGTCTCTGCTTCTCCTTTTGTATACCCTCCCCCACCCTTATTGCATTTTTTCTGAACTCCAAGATTCAAATGGCAATTTGAGCTAAGCATATACTGAACAACACTCTAAACTACCCCTTTCCCTACTTTCAAAATAAATGAGGCTATCAGCGCAGGAGACTCTGTCTGACTTGGTCTGCTCCCAAACCAGAAAAGTTTAATATAATTCCTTTTGAGAGTTGAGCAAGGGCAGCATTTCATACTTTAATGGTACTTTGGTGTGTTTGGGTCAGAAGTCCTCAAGTTAGGTTTAAGTACTTGGAGCAGTCCTAATTCTCCATGGGATGTCTACTTCTGAGTGCGAAAATAAAAACAAATGTAATAAGGCTTGGGAAATACCTTAACCCACAGCCTGTTAGCAGACTTGGGGACTGGGTTTGGGCTTTGTGACTTGTCTGCCCAGCTGTTGCCCACGGCCGTGGCTGCATCCTGCTGTACCCCCACAGTGCAGGCAGGTGCTCCTTCCCAACCTTGCAGGGAGGCAGTACAAAGGGCAGAACTGCTGTGTGGTCTGGGCTTGGCCCCAGTGGCTGAACCATGCTTCATGTTGGTTACTGAAGTGAATCTAGACTGTCAAGAGTCAGGTAAAGAACAGGAAATTCTTTGTGAGTTGTGCATCCTTTGAAAGCAGTGCTGATGGTGGAAGGGGAAATGCCCTCCTCCACGGACATGCACTCCTAAGCAGTACTTGGAAGCACTCACCTTGACATACATGAGTAATGTTCCTGCAGGTGCCCTGAGCATTGGTTACATCTCCAAATGTCATTCTTTAAATAGGCCATTTAACATTCAAGAAGCTCATTAGTGTCCATCTAAGGAGTGAAGGACGTGCATCTGCATTTATGTTTGTATGAACACCTGCAGCCTTGCACCTGTGGTTCTTGGTGTAGCTCCCAACACAGTGTTAGCTCTCTGTGTGCGAGGTGAATCTCAGCTTGACATTGGGCAAAAAGCCAGACCTGTCAGACAGCCAGCTTTTGTCTGCCATTAGGTCGAGCTGGTGCATTTTACTTTTTTGTAGTTCTCCATTCAGCTCCTTGGTTGTAGTTAACAAATGCAGTAAGAGACTCTCAGAGTGCAATGCTTAGTTGTTTGACAGGGGGAAACACAGGAGAGTTTTAAAAGAGGACAGTAATGACAGGACCAGGAGATGAGCAGGTGGTAACATTTTGCTCTGGATTACTGACACCATGTTTTTATCTTCTTGTGATTTGATACCGTGTCACTGGCTTTTTTTTTTTTTTTCTGCTCTGAAAGTCAGTTGTGACAGCAAGAGCAAATGTAAAAAATGACACTGCAAGATGGAATTTCAGGAAGCAGGAGGCCATGATTAAGAGAAGATCCCTCCCCTGGGTTTTCTCTAAGGTGCAAGCCTCTTGTTGCTGGTCTACCTGCATGAGGCAAAGTCCTGCTGGGCTTGTCAATCAGCTGATGGAGAGCCTGCTGGGTTTGGCTGAAGCCAATGGAAAAGCTTCTGGCAAATGGATCCCCAAAGATTTGTTTGGTTTATTGATCTCATAGAAATAGAAATAGGAATGTGCTTTGATTTGGATGGGTGTATATAACCACAGTGGAGAGAAAGAGTAGAGGCATGTTGGCCTGTGAATAAATGTAGAAGCATTTAGAAAATGGTTATGGAGGAAGGCTGCGGTCAAATTTTACTTTGAGCAAAGATTAGGAAACAGTGATGTAGTTTGTTGGTAAGAACCCAGCCTGAGAACTGGATGGTCACTGATTCAAATGCTATTTTTGAGCACTCTTGATTAGACTTCATGTTGGTAAAAAGCAAAACTTTTAGAACCGGAAAAAATCCACAATGTTTGGCAATGGAAAGTGTTGGGTGACTTTTAAGTTTTAGGCAGAATTTATGCTCAGTCACTGAAAGATGAAAGTGCAAATGTACTGAACTTTGTAAGTTGTATTTTTAATGCTTCTTCTGATGTAAGACAATCCTGATTTTTATATCGGTGTTTTGAAATACAAATATGTATTAGCATTTAAAACTTCTATCACAGCCTCATTTAAAAGCCAACAGTTTCAATTAGAAAGACTTCTTTAGAATGGTTTCTGCCCACATGTATTTAAAACATCTCTTGTTAAATTTCTAGAATCTCTTTCTTGAAAAATATGCCTTCCCTTTTATTTTTTGAAATGTGGTAGTCATGGGAAAGCTGCAGCTTCTGTTTCATTTTTCCTCTCCTTATCCTCCCACCTTCTATTTCCAAGAGAAAAGGAAGCACAGCATTAGAGAGATATGCTATCTTCAGTGGAACGAAAGATGTCTTTGTTTAAACAAAAAAGCAGAAAAATTTATGGATTTCAATCTAAATAACTTTAAATTTTCTCCCCAGCTTTCTGTTCGTTCAAGGGGGTAAATGTTTTCGGGTTATTTTTGCTTGTTCTAGATGTATGTAGACTTCAGAGAAACTCTTTCGTTCCTTTAAAATTTGACAATAGCCTTCGTGGGCACTTGCAAAATATATATCTAACTGTAAAAGAAGTCTAACTGTGGCCAAAACGACACATTCACATATACTCACATATCTTTGGTGTTACTGGTAGTAAAGTGCAGATATACCTGTAAGAAATGACGAGCAATGGCTGCTACTTCATGGCTGCATTCCTTTTGTCTATAGACGGCTGCTGAAGAGTGAACTTGGATCCTTCATCACAGATTACTTTCAGGTACTGCATGATTTCCTTGCTTTATTTTGAGGTTTGCTCTCTTCAGCTTTTTAGCCTATTAAAAAAATTAGGACACCTCTTCACATGCATGTTTCATTTTTGTTTTGCTACACAAGGTGATAGAGGTACTGGACTTTTTAAATGCAGGCCATATAGCCTTGGGAGTAACCATATTTATGGATGTGTGTGCAAAATTAAGGATAATCTTCCTTTGCACTTAAGAAAGGCTGCTAGTAGCCTGCCAAGATCAAGAAGGAATTCACTTGAATTTTTTAAAGAGGAGGGAATCCCTTTTCTCTAGAATAGAAAAGTCAGAGTTAGGTTTTCTGCAACAGGGGCTAGCAAAGGGACACAGAAATGATAACAGCTGCCTGTAGGCAGGAGGGGGCACAGAGAAGGAAGTTTCTATCAGCAGGAAATCAACCTGAGTACTTTTTGCTTTTTAGTCCCACAAATATAAATGCAACTTCTGAAAAAGCAAAATATGAAGCATGAGGGAAGACTTGAACAATCACAAATGTGTTGTTGCCTTTTACTGATACTGTCCAGATAGACAGACATGTAACCACATGAAAGCCTATTGGATGATTTTGAGAAAGCACTGATGGCTTTCAGTGTTTTGATTTGTTCAGTGTAGCATTGATTAAAACAAAAGACACTGCTGGAAACAAGAGGTTTTTTTCCCTTTGAGTAAGAGAGAGACAGAAAATTTCAGCACTTTCTGAAATGGCTGATGCTGCTTTGTACTGTGCTAACAGCTTAAAGGAGGAAAAAGAAGACTGATGTTGTTTCCTATCAGATTACATGATTTATTAGATTACAAGACTTAAAAAAATCCCCTGCTGTGCCAGCAAGTGAGAAGCAAACTCCTACCCCAGAGGTAGTTATGTTCCACTTCCTCAGACCCTCTCTGCACAAGTTGTTTACTGCAAAGAGGCGGCTGCTGGTCTCGTGTGGCAGGACGTTTCCTAGAGCCTGAGAGGGGTCTGGCAGCAGCCACTGGCACTCAAATTTAATTTCTGGGTTATTTTTGCTCAGTGTTACAAGGAGTAACTTGACATCCATCAGACTTAGCCTGAAGTGAAACTCTTAGTGCAGGCAAGTTGTGAGACAAACTGTGAGATAAAGGCTATTGTTAGAAATGAGATTTTTTCCTCTGTGAGGTAAGATGCAGACTTATTTCTGATTCTAGACTAACAGCACATGGCATGATAAAAGCTATCACTCCCTCCTGAATGTCTTTTCTCAGAAATCCTAGGGCCAGGGAATGGATGAAGAACATTCGCGTGCCAAAGAAGGGCTGACAACATTATTTCATTTGTCTGTGGGTTCTGTTTCACTGCTGATGCCAGCGGATTTACGGCAATACTGCACCACCAAAATGAGCAGAGTTCAGTCAAGCTGCTGATTTGGCTGAAAAGTAACCTTGAAAGAAAAAAATAAAGTTTTCAACTACTTCCTCTGACGTGTTGTGGTCATCACCTCTGACATGGGGGAGGTGCTGGGAGTGGGTCACCAGTATGGGGAGTGGAGTCTTTTGGCAGTGACTTCCTCCTCCATCTGTTAAAGCCCACTGAAAACTATCCCAAGAACAAAGTTTTCTGTCCTCTTAGGTTGAAATGGACCCTGAAGGTTATGCTATCTGTTTAGCCAGGCAGTTTTAAACATCCTAGCAGCAATTAGAGCAACTAACTGAATCATGTAATATTTAGATGTGATAAACTGACTTAAATGTTTTCCATTTCTTATGCCACAGCACTTATAACAGGAGTGACTAAGATAATGTTTAAAATCACATTTGCTTTAAGAGTTCATGATTTTACATTATGTATATTTTATAAACTCACACATACACATTTTTTTCTAACCACTGAATATACAAGACTAAAATGGAACATAGCTTTTTAGTGAGACAAAGCTACCTTTGTGATCAACTTGACTTGATTACTCACAAGTCCTTTTCATCAACACTCATGCAAATTAACCGTTTTTAGCTCCTGAGATTGCTAAAAGAAGGTTTAGGAAATGGTTGGAGTTTGTTCAGTCTTTTTCTGCTACCAAATCATCACCATACCAGAGTTAGTGAGCCTGTTGTCTTTGAAAGAGAAATATAATTCCTCTAAGGGTTTCAGTGCAAACTCAGATGTTTCATTCTGAAGGAGAGTTGTGTTTATAGATCTGCTGCTTTAACAATCCTCCTATATATACAATCCATCTCTTTGGATAGGAGTCTGAGTGTAAATGCTAGATAATTGGGATTTGCAGTAGTTGCTGCAGATCTGCCTGAAAGCAGGGCTTTGTTCTCCAGATTTTTCAGTGCTGACTTTGCCCATCAACTGATTCAAGAGTTTCCTGCTGCTGAAAAGGGGCACTTTGCACCCACCTCTCTGTTCAATAACCCGGTAGGTCCCCATTTACTCTTGCTGCTGGGTTATTTTGCTGGTGGTCAGCTGAACAACAACATGGAGAAATCCTATGACCATGGAAGAGAAGAGGCTGGGGTTTGAAGGAACAGGGTGTATCGGTGATTGGGACTTTTCTGGTGCAGCTGTACAATTTTTGAGATAAGCTCCCTTCGTTTTCCTGTTCTCTGACCCTTGTGTTTGTGGAGAAAATTTTTTAAATATAGAACTAGTGAGTGTTGATGAACTGATGCATAAAGTGACAATAAATTATCAGCCTGATTCTGCAAATAGCCTGAAACAAAGCCTTTGGAAAAGATGAACTGTTTCTTTTCACTCTCTGGGGGCTTGGTAATCTTGAAACTTGTGAGGAGGGGAAAAAGCAAATGCATATTAACTCCAAACTGTCTCCTCCCAAGGCGGAGAGACCTGATCCCTTCCAGGCACTGTAACCTCTCCCAGAACGCACAGGCTTGCAAATGCAGAAAGTCAAATGCCCAGAGCTGATGCCTCTTCAGCCTATGTCCACTTCCTGCACTGGCAGAGGTGGTAGGTGAGGAATGGCAAGTGGACTGTATTCTGTTATTTAACCCAATGAGAGCTTTGATGTCTTAAAATCAGAAGCAAGCTGTTATATAATTTCCAGCCTGCTGCAATGGAGAGCCACCGGAGGTGGCAAGTCCTGACTCAGAATTAGACCTGGCTTTCTCTTTGTATGCGAAGCCACAGAAACTGCAACATGCAAGCACACACGTTGTGGGGTATCATGCAAAGTCAAAATAGGAAGATGATAATGGATAGCTGAAAAGTAAGCAGTGTTAGTGGTGAGGCAAGCCTGGATCCAAGCCAAAACTGATTTTATCTTCTCCCTTTGGGGCAGTTAGAAGTGGAACTTGTGAACCATCCTGTGGGTCAGAGTCCCTCTCACTGTAGGTTTGCCAGTTGTGCAAGGTGGCCACAGTGGGAGGGGGAAACATGAACTCCTCCCTCTACTGTGGCACCATAAAGCTTTTGCTTAGGTCCCTGCTGCAGGTTTTTCTGGGACTCCAGCCTGGAGAGATGACTCCAGCATCTCTGGTGATGCTTGCAGTCTCCTTTGAAGGGCTGCTTTGTAAAGCCTAGCTAACAGCTGGACATACCATGTGTCTGCTTAGTCAAAGGGAAAAACCTGGTGTGTATGATGTAGCTTTTCCTGATGCCAGGTTTCTATATCTACCCGTCTCACAGCAAGGCAAGGAAATAGTTGTATAGGTTATTTCTAAATACAGGTAACACTAGCTCTTCTCTGGCCAAGTGCTGTCTCATGCCTGCTGCCAGAGGCTGCAGCAGCTCAGCTGCTGCACAAGAAAGAGAATTCACACTTTTGTGATTAGCAGAGCTCAGCCGTATGTCTGCAATACTCTTTTGGGTCAAGCTGGTCTTTATTGTTGCATTTCTCTTCTGACTGGCTGGGAACCTCTGTTCGTGCAGGTCTGCTAATTATTTCTGCTTCATCTGGCACTTTCTAGGACTGAGTTTTCATGGAACAGCTCCGGGCACTCCATAGCAACTGCCCAGCTTCGTTATCATGGATGGGGTCACCCGGGAGCTCCTCACTGTTATCGAGTAGAGGACCTAGTCCTGGGTGGCAGTGGCAGCAGGGACAGATGCCTTCAGGCCCTGCTCCCATTAACTCTGTAGACATGTGTGAATCTCTCAAAGCATGGCACGGGACAGTGAGCCATGCCCTGGCTGAGCAGGACTCCCACCTGGAGCGGTGACTCACAGTGCAAAGTCAGGGGGCCCGGCTTTGGGATATTCCTGTAGCTGCCGCCTGGCTGGTGCGTTGTGCTCTAGGTTGTAGCAGTGTTGCCTACTTGGTCTGCCTGGTCTGCTCTCCTTCTTACTTTCCTTGCTTCACTTTCTCTCTTTAACTAGGCTTTTTTAAAATCTGTTGTGAACAAAGCCAGCTCTAAGAAGAGTAATTTTGGGATGTTATTTCATATTTATCTTGTTATCTCTTCTCCATGTAGGATTGAAGTGATCTCTCTGCTTTTGTCACTATTTTCTCTCTTTTTGGAGAAAAAAGAAAGGATGGGGAGTTGGTAGTGCTGTAGGTATGAGATACTGCAGCTCACACAAATTTGCATTTTGTAAAACAGTACCAAGAAACAGGTAAGTGTATGTGTGCAACTGACAATGACTTTGTAGAAAATACTTTCCAAGTAAGTTTAGGTGATGCCTTTATTCTCAAATTAACATAGGATTATCCACAAAACAGTGGCCATGTGTTTGTAGAGGCTGTAAAAGTGTGTTTTAGCATTAGCACACAAAGCCTCAGCTTTCATCTAGAAAAGGGGGCTGCATTTAAGAAATGCCGTAACGTGCAGAAAAAAACCTGATTTTTTCAACCAGCAAAATGAGGTCAATTATTTTGAATATGTTCTGGAGTTTTCTTCTGTTTCAAACTTATGTTGTTTGATGAACTAACATTAATGTGTTAATTTAAAGGTGGCTTTTAAAAGGCATACTGGCCATGTTTTTTTTGAGACATGACCAGAAAGCAAAATTTGTCCATAATTAAATGGGTGTTTGTGCAAAATTTTTCCCCCAAAGATAATGGCTTATTTTTTATTAGCAGAAGAATTCATTTGTACCTTGCTATGCTGCAGACATGGCTTTCAGACAAGATGTGAAGTTGCCTGTGATGGCTTGAAACTCCTTGATGGTTTCTGTGGAATTGCTGCCAAAACTACTTAGCTGTTTTTTGGCACCCTTCTGTTTAAATATACCACCCACAGCAGAGTAAGCTGTGCTAGTGGCAGGGCTGTCACCCCATAATCCTTCCTGTTGGATCTGTCCAGAGGCTGTCACCACAACCAGGCTGCTGACAGAGCACTTCTGACAGTCAACACCTTATTTGCCTCAGGCAAAGTCAGATGGGTGCCATTTTGCCCAGAGTGTAGTGGGAGTGTACCCAGGAAAGGCCTCCATGGCCCCCATTGGGGATGACCAGCTCCTGACAAAGTAGAGGGAGGGAGAAGGTCTTTTGCACTGCCGGTTTGAGACAGTAGCCCCAGTTGTAGCTGGGACAGCTTCCACCTTCTGAGTAGGTGGGGCAACTGGAATTGCTCTGTTGGGTATGAATGGAGAAACTTGCCTCAATTTCTCTAACAGGGCAGGGAAAGAGGAAAATTCCTGTGCCAGGAGAAAGGAAGGAATTACCAAGTGTGTGTGTTTTACAATGTGGTGTGTGACTGCCTTTAAAATTTTTTTTTATTCCTAATGATTTGAGCATAGCTTACTTTAAAGAGTAGCAAGCACATGTACGTTGTGGGAGGGTCTTTGCTGAGGAACAAATGAAAAGTGACTATTTTAGCTTTGAAGCCTGTCTTTCAAAACTTAGGGCATTTGAAAATTTACTTAAAGGCTTTCCCTTATCTGCTCTTGTTAGTGGTATACCTGAAACAGCTATTGTGGTTTTCTGCAACTGAGAAAAGTACGAGGGTTTCAACCTGTGAGATTTCACAAGCTCACTTCTATGTGCTGCAAAACAACTCTCTCCAAATTTCTCGACTGCATGTACGTGTGGGGTGTTAACTTGAGACTTTGTTTCTCTGCACATCATTCTTTACCTTAGCAGGAGTAAGGGCAGTTTTGCACCCCCCACAATGAGCCTATAACATCCTGTGGTGTCCCAACAGCAGAGTGAGGACTTCACCCTGGGGAGCCAGGAAAAGCTGATTTGGGGAAGAAAGGGAATAAATGCCTCCGCAAGCTCACAGTTCAGCTGTAACTGGAAAGAGATGAAAGGTGGCAGACAAACTTTTTCAAATAAATGCATCCTTCAAGCTTACTTGGTGTCAGCCTTTATCTGACCTGGCTTGTAAATAGATTTATTTATCCTCTTAGCTCTGTGCCTCTGGGTTGCCTCTGGCAAGAGGGGATGCAGCAGCAAAATAAGACTTGTAATCTAGACAAGGTCTGATACAGACCTCTGCTGTGGCTGCCCTTGTCAGGTTGTATTGATTTGTCAGCAGACCCTATAGGGTTTTTTAATGACAATTTGCCTGTCTGGCTTGATCTGAAGGATTAATATTTGGATTGAATCAATTTCTAAGCCTGTGACTTTAGAAAAGATGGATAAGTAAAATTTCCAGATATTTTTAAGATGGGGAAAAGGGAAATGAAGTGTGGTGGTTTTTTTGTTTTTAAAGTGTTTTCCACAGGAAAAGGGAAAATCTGAGAAGATAAGTGAAACATCTGTAGTAACTATAGGGACCTAAACTTTTTTTTTGAAGAAACCTCAAAAATGAGATAATGCAATCTACTTAGCACATGGAAGTACTGATAATACATTCATAGGTGCATTATAAATTCTTAACTTCTAATATATATATTTAACAGATGTAACTGTTCTGTTCATTATTGTGTACAACTGTATACTTTGGTTGCTGACACAGCTGTAAAATAAAAAGAACCCTCATCTCTGGAAGTAGAAAATATCAGTAATACTAACTTTAAAGCAAAGTAGCTGAAAGATTGTAGCCACAGAGCTCAGAAAACATATGTAAATTGAAACCTAATGTTCTAGTGCAGGTAGAAAATGAATTCATATTTCCTGAGAAAAACACAAAAAAAATAAGGTGACACCCTCACACACACACACACACACACACACACACGTGTGTGTGTATACTTTTTATTATAAAGTAGTTTAAAATGACACAGTATCAAAGACCAGCTGTAAATTTTCCCTGCAGAATATGAGAGGCAATTACCTTGATCTACAGATTGAAAAATAAAGAAATTAAATACTTTATTAATAAACTGAAAACATTTAGAAAGATTAAATTGCAATATCACTCTATCACTATCTTATTGTTCAGACAAAAAAATATCTACAGTGTAAGTGGGTTTCACTTCTTTTTCACATTGTGATTTTTTTCATTCCAGATTTCTTCCTCCCTCCTTTTTCACATTGTTTTTTTCCCCCTGGAAAGTATTTTTTGTTGTTGTTGTCCAGAGCATGACACATATAATCCATTATTTCTGTTGAACAAATCTAAAATCTGAAGGGAGATCCCAACAACTTAATATTTCCCTCCAAAGCCCATATTTCAGCTAGAGAATCTTTGCAGAACAGTCACCTTCCATTTGTTGCTAGCAACATTTTGGAATGTTGCAATTTTTTTTTTGGTGCATGAACGTATTTATCCAGCTTACTGATTCTTGTTGTCATCGCCCAGTTGAAAAGGGTCTCCCAGGCTGAGAATGTCACAGAACAATGTTTCCTTCTATTTATACTCTACAACGGTACTCCAGTTTTGTATTCCTGCTTGTTGAAGGGAGGATGCAGAGGTGTTCTGCTCTCTTTGCTTGCGGTGTCTTACTTGGTTGCCTGGTTCTGTGTGTGTCATGGATGAGCCGGCCTGGTGTATGGTTACAGGAGGCAGGTTTATCACCCAGAGCAGTAGTGCCAGGGCAGGTATGCAATATGGCAGCTCATCAGGAGGCCACGGTGGTGTCCAGGCACTGGTGTGACAGCAGGGTCCACCAGGACTGAAGAAAGATGGGTCTTGCTCCTCAGCTGATAGAAGGTTTGAAAGTGCAACTTTGACCTGGTTACCCATTAAAAGCAAAAGCTATATGATGAACTAGGGGGAAGGTGTCTCTGAGCATTGTGTGCTACCCCAATATTGAATTCTTTCAGAGGGACAGAAGGCTTTATTCTCTACTGATATGATCTCTGTAGTAGGACTGTACCTTTTAGGATGCAGTAATAGTGTGTTATGTTGTGATTGCAGCACATTTCTCTGGGATTCTCAAACCTTAGTAACTGATTCACCTAGTGCTGTTGGGAGAACAAAAGGATAGGTGTTGTTTTTGCACCATTCTTATGTTTGGGGAAGTGGGAACAAAAATCTAATCAGATATTTAAATGTTGTGAGCTGCGAACAGGCATATTAATATCTTGACCTGTCTGGTCCGTGATAGTTGAGTTTATCTAGAAGGATTATCTCCTGCCAGTTCTTCTGCAGCTTGGGACTGCATACCGAGATAAGCCAACTGCTCAATATAGCAAAAGAAATAGCTTCATGGAAATAGAATAGGTAGGAATAGAGAAGTAGATATTAGAGAACTGAACTGGCTTACTGTGCGGTTAAGCAAACAATGAGCTAGCACAAAGGAAGAAGAGAGTAGGACATTTTCATAGCATTTGGCCCTTTGATCACCTCCTTCATATGACTGAGGGATAGCTTATGTGGCTGCACTATTATGGTAAGAACCATTTTATTTTCTTGATTCCCTCCCTGTGACCCTTCCTACTTCTGGCAAGTGTTTCAACTGCTGTGTCTGTTGCGTTCTCATGTGCAGCTGAACAAAAGGGGGTTAATGAATGTATAGCACTCACAATGGGACCAGTGCTAGAGGAAGGCACTACAATATGCCTAACCTTTACATAATGGCATGCAAAGTGGATAACATCTGAAAAAAATCATTCTTATATGTTTATTATAAATCTCAGAAAAGGCAAATGCATGTCTCTCTTCTCTCTTGGCAGAACCAGCTCCTTGCGAAAGGCTTGCTGTTTATGGAGGAGAAGGTCAAGCTGTGTGAAGGCAAGTATAGTAATAAACCTGTTTTGGAAGGGAGTTGTGCTTTGATGTTTGGTCAGACGACATGTTTTGCATGTCTGGGAACTGTACAGCCCCTTCTGGTACTCTAGTAGGGTGTCACACAACCCCTCAGGAGCCAGGTTGCACTGCAGCCCTTGTGAAGCTGAAGGGATAGAGGACTGTTTTAATAGCCATAGAGCCACAATTCTCCCACCAGCCATGACTTTATCATGAGAACAGGAATGTGAGATTTGTGTGGCAGTTGAATCTGGGCTCAAAGCCGTTCTGGTCTGGACGTGGATCCTGTTGCAAAACTGCTTGGAACTGCCTTCTGCCTTTTATTTCTCAATGTGATTCACAGCTTGATGTAAGCACAATTTTAGTTACTCTGTCATGCTTTTGAGAACTGAACTATCAAGCTTTGTGTACATTTAACGAAAAAAAAGGTCCCTTTGGTGAGAATGAGTCCTTCAGGAAAGAAGTTGATCAGACACGAAGTTCTGTTAAAACCACTGGAGTATAGACACTTGCTGCTGCACAGTGTCTGTAGACCAAGGCTAGTGTGGTGTGGCAGCTCTGTTGGATGTGTGGGGAGCTGGTCACACTTAGTAACTGTTTGCTCAAGCAAAGCAAGCAAGTCTTTATTCAAAACTAAGCCGCTGTTTGGTTTGACCCAGTTTTGTAGCCTGTAGGAAGATCTCTTACTAATCACCAGTCTGTTGTATGTGGGTCATTAAATGCCAATAGATGCTTATAATCTCACATCATTGCTGGTCCTGGATTCCTCTGCACTGTTCTTCACTAAATGACTTCACCCAGCTGGCAGACTGTAGGATTTGGTCCCTGGAGGAGTTAAGCAATTGCAAGTCTCCAGCATGGTACATGCTCCTTTGGCGCTGGCCCTGTAAGGGAAGAAAAAAGGCAGACTCCTGCTTTTTCTCCGATGTGAGTACCTGACCTGCCACAGCCAGCTCTTCAGAATGAGTGCTGCACAGCTTATCATAGACTTGGTTTCTGTATTCGTGTAAAACTATTCCATTATCTGCTTTAGCATTAGGAAAATTAAGTTTGAGTCTGTAATAAGCTGAGAGCTACCCAAGAGTATTTTGCAGCTGCTCAAGTAGTTTGGGTAAGATGAGATTTCCTAGGCAGATAGCAAAACCCTCTTCAAATGCTTCATTTTTCTGTCCCTAGTTTAAAGTGATACTGGAGACACTTCGCCTGCGTGCAGGCTGGCATCTCTGTAGATGACTCATGGGCACCTTTCTTTCATAACGTGTAGGCTTGTTGCAGGTCTTGTGGTCACAGCAACAAGAATTTCTTGTACACGCTTCTCAGTCAGCTCTGTCTTCCTGGAAAATTTCTACTACCCTGGCACTCAGACACAGGATAATGCTCCTGTGGCAGGGCATGGCAATGTTTTACTGTGTCTGTTTTTCAATCACAGCCTCTTATTTTAACATGATTTTTCTTTATACAGTCTGTCAGAATCTCTTTCAACACCTGTAGGATTTATGATTTCTTGAAGAAACAAACCGTTCCTGCTTCCCCTTCAGAAGGAGAAGTGATCTATGACATTTCATTCTGTCTCCACACAGCAAAGCATTGCAGTCCTGGGGAGGAGGCAGAGGGGGAAAAATTTAAACATTCAGTTAGTCTGTTTCCTGTTGTCTTTTTCACTTACACTTGGCTGTTGCTAGTAGTGGGTAGTTGTTATGGGGGTGTTGGGTGGGTTCTTGTCTGCCTGCAGTTCCAGTTTTGAAGCCAGAGTCATACCTGACACAGTGAAGTCTCCCTTTGAACCTTTCTGTGGTTTTTGATGGGCTCTCTGCTCAAAGTGAAATGTCTGGAGGATCTAGTCCTGTTGGCTCTCTGCTCTCTGGCTTTCTGTTGTCCTAAGCAGCACAACCCATGGGCAAGCATGTTGAAAGTCCATGTTGAAGTCCCCAGATGGGGAAAGCAATTTAGTACAGAGTGATAAGGCTCCTCTGAGTTGCAATTTTATGTGTATTCCAGTTCCTCATGAAGGGCCTTTAGTCACCTTGAGGCTGAGCCTTCAAATCTGTCTTGAATGTCCATCTTCCATTACTGCTCCTTGAGTCTTGACTGCATGTAAGCTCCAGCTAAGGCTCTATGAAAGGTATCCTGGAAAATCGTTTTGTCAGAAACTTGTACTTTTAAACCTGTGTCTGTATTTGCACCTGAATTTTCTGGGGATGTATCTAAAATAACACTGTAAATCTTTGGCCTTTGGGATGGGAAAATCTCCTAAAAACTCAGAGGCTTTGAGCCCAAATGCTGAGGAGCACACAGCTTTTTAAGACAAACCTATGAGCATAATTTGATCACAGTTGTATTCTTGTCATGGGAATCACTTAGTCTGCCTTCATTTTAAGTACCCACTTACATTTGGGGATGTTTGTTTGAGTTGGAGTCATATAAAGGGTGGCCACAAGTGAGTTCCATTCAGGTATCTTCGCAAAGGCCACATTTGAGAGAAGCACAGTGGCTTTGTGTCTTGTCAGGTTCCTGATTGTTGCTTGATAATTGGTGGATGCCAGAGGGGGCTCAGCTCATGTAAATTGTTTCCCTGACCCAGTTGCTGACTCGGATGATGTTGGATTATCAGTTGATGTTGGCTGTGACCTGCTGGTTTTCAGATTCACCTGCTAATGTGTGGCTGCTCCCCCACTAGCGGGGTGTGCTGTGAGCTGTGAGACTGCACAATCCTTTGCTGTGGATTTAAAGCCTCCAGTTGAAGAGGGACTTCACTCTTTTTTTGGAGTTGGTCTCATGTTTTGCACAGAGCTGTTTTCTTTGCAGTAAGCGACAGAACAATTTATGGTCGCAGCCTTGTGTCTCTGCCAGCTAAGGTGAAGCTTGGCTGGGCAATGTCCAGTTTTGGGCAGAAACTGTGAAAGTGAAGGGTGGGTTTGTAGGTCTTATTTGGGGAATTACAGAGTATTTGGAAAATCAAACTTGATTTTAGTGTCCCTGTCGCTAAAGTCTTTGCTCCCAATCTCTGTTTTTGTAGGTGAGGATCGCATTGATGTCCTGTCTGAAATCTGGGATCACTATTTTACAGAGACTCTGCCTACACTTCAGGCAATATTCTACCCGGTCCAGGTAATCTTAATTATAACTCAGTCAGGTAAAGCAGTGTAACTGCAATGCTTGCTAATGGCAAATGGAAACTTCTGCCAGCAGCACTGTTTGCCCAGTGGCTAAATAGGTGTCAAAACCTTTAAACTAAATCTGAGAGGAAGCAGACTTTATCCAAGTCAGCATTAACCGTGTAAGAAGGACTTCTATAATCTCCTAGACAAGCACAGTGCTTTGGGCTCAATTTATTTCCATTTGTCTACCCTCTGTCTGTGCTTAGCTAAGCTTGGACACTGAAACTGTTGGACTATACCTGTCTAGACTGAAGCTCTGGGCGTTTATAGTTCTTCCATTTTTAAGTAGCTGGCACTCTTGGTGCAGATGACAGCACTGACAACTTGTCTTCAGAGGGACGAATCTGAAGACTAGATCAGGAGAAAATGTGTTTAACTCACCCCTAATTGACCCCTGGTGGCCTAGTGGTTAGCATGCAGGACTCTCACTGCTGCGACCACGGGTTCGAATCCCAAGTCCCCCGGGCAGATGGTAGCTCGTTAGCCCTGTGAGGCCATCCATCTATGAGAAGGTCACTCTAAACAAACCTACGTCCTGAGGACCTCACTGCCATTGTCCAAGCTTGCTTGGCCCCGGCAGATGAACCTTAGGATTAAAGGGTGGGCTCAGTTCAGCGCAGGCTGTGTCTCACCTAAAAAATCCATTGCGCAGGCTGGAAAGGTAAAAGACCTTTCCCCAAATCTTCGTTCGCGAAGACTGGCCATTAATTGCTTTGGAGGGCTTATAACCCATTTGTGCTTTTGGGTAATCCTCAGGTGAGTTTTTTGAGGCTTTAATAAGGGGTCACATAAATCTATGGGTTAAAGATGAATGAACAATTTTATGTAAGACCTTTTTACACTGGGTATTTTGAAAGCTGAGTATCCCATCAGAAGTATTGAGCCGTATCATTTTTTAATGTAAGTTTAGTCAGGGTTCCAATATGAGCAGCCTAATTACATTCCATGAGAGGAAAAGAAAAATGTACCTCATGCAGAGAATGACGTTCTTGGAAATGCTAGTCTCCTCCTCTTGACTTTTGCCTCTTCCACAAGACATTATTTCTGGAGCCTTTTAAAATTATTTTTCCCTTGTATTGCTTGAAAGGCAGCAGGTAAAGCTCAAAGCTTGCCCTTTTCCTCTAATCCTAAAAGAGAAAGGACTTCTGCAAAGACAGACACTAACCTTTCTACTGTGTTTATTTTTGTTCTTTCCTTGCTGCAGATGCTTAAAGGTACGTGTTTGACAGGTAAAACTGTGCAATTATAATACCATCCCTTTCTCTCCTTTTGCAACTAATTCACAGTGAGGGAGTGACCTAATCTATTTAGGCAGGGGTTTGTCTGCACTGCAGCTACCTGTGTGCTGTGGAAACAGTTGAGCTGTCTGTCATACCCACTGATGCTTAGAGTTCTGCCACTTACCAGAAGAATCTACTCCCCTGCTATTGAAACGTCTCTGATCAGAAACTGAACAAAAATTACAGCACTGTGGGTACAGCTTTTGGAAGTAACTTGGTTATAGTGCTGCAAGTGTGACTATGGGACACTGACATTCTTTGAAAGCACAATATTTTTGCCGTATTTCTCTTGTAACAATATCTAAGTCACTCAAAATATACCATAGAAGCTGTAACATTAGGCAATTATTGCCATTTTATGGATGAAGAACTAAAAGGTTAGCATATTTAAAGCTTTGTAGGCACCTTAAGTTCTACACAAATGCATGGATTAAGCTGCCTAAATACATCCAAGAATTTGACTTGGAGTAAGCTGCCCTAGACTACCACAGAGACAGTTACAAGTGCAACAAGATATAAGAAATTGCTCTTATCCCAGACCAGTGTCCTAATAACGAGATCGGACTTTTCCTAGAAATGGGGAACTGCATGTAACCATTTATGTGGTATGTCACAACATGTGAAGAGAGCTCATCTAACAAGTCTTTTATCAAGCTGCAGTTCTTTGCACGCTACTCTGGTAGATGGGAAAGTCAATTTGTTGTTGGTTCCCCATCCTTTCCTGCAAATGTCAGCGTGATTATTTAGTTGTGTTCTTCTGTGATCCCAGCAACTGCCCATTCAGAATGAAACTAAGCCAAATATGTGAGCGTATGTTACCAAAGGTAGTAACTAGAAGTAACTTCCTATCTCAGCTAAGTTTAAACCCGAGACTCATAGCTGTTGCAGAAATATGACCTTTAAGCAGCCAGGTTGGTTAAATTGCTGTACAGAGGGAAACTATGTAAACAGGTCACTGGCTTTTATATAGTTGCAGCTGTTGATGTGGCTATTGATGTGGAAAAAAGAATAACAAATCTTGTTTTGTTTGGCACAGAAACATGTTTGCATTTTGAAATGGGGTATGAAGTTAATGGGACTAAACTGCATGATATAAATAAAAAGTTTGCAGCTGCTGAAATACAGTTCTGAGATACATACTGGTCTTAACTACACCCCCATGTTTCTAAACACACCTTGGTGGTTTAAAACCACAAAGTGCTTTTATTATGTCCAAGCTACCCTCCAGACTATTTGCTTTAATTCATATTTACATATTGATGATGCTGTTAATTATGACATTAAACCTATTATGAATTAATGTTTAACTGCTGGCAATTCCTTCCAGCTAAATATTTGCCATGTTGAATGTGTTACGGAGATCATAAAATGATTCCCAAAGAGACCGTGGGGCAGAGATTAACATGCTGAGAAGAACAAGGCAAACTTTTCAGGCTGGAGAGTGCTGGGCAGGGCTGGGAGGAAAATTTCTGCTGTTAAGTTGCAGTGGGACAAGAGAAAGTCATTCAGATGTTAAGCGTAGCATCAGGAAAGATGGTAACACAGAATGCCACATGGAGTTCCACTGTGTTTCAATATGCTGAGAAATATTGCGTCATCTGTTAAACCTGCTCACTTGTGTTGTTGATTTTAAAAAAGTAACTGTGAGGACATGGAATGCCTTGCAGTGGATATTGAAGCTGTTGCTTTTTAAAATGATGTTTGGTTCAAGCAGTCTGGCTAGCTTTGTTCCAGCCTAAATCCTAAAATCTTTAATGGACTAAATTGTGGATTTTTGTCATATCAGCAAGGTCGAAAGTGCAGACACTGAGCAAAAAGAGAATCCAATATAGACCACAGGTAGGCTTACTTAAGGAATAATCTGTACCAACTTCTTTCCCTACCAAACCTTCTCTGGTTTCTCAGCTCTGAATGGCAAAAGCACAAGCTACATCCAGCCTGGACTTTGAATGTTTGTGACCAAATTGGATGGCAAGTGGATTTCATGAATCCGTAGTCTTTTAGTGAAATACAGGCCCATTTTTGGCTTCACTCCAAACCTATTGGTGCCTCAGAGGATGTGATGCTTATTTCAGCATTTGTGTGAGACAGAGCCTGCGAGTAAAGCAAGCAAAGAATACTGTGAATCCTCAACCTGAGTGACTGGGAGGTGTTTTGCCACAGCAGCAATGGGCAGGACAGACCCTTCCTGTCTGTGTGCATACATGTGTTGGTGCAATGCTCGCACATCCCTTTATCAACTCTTAGATTTTGTCTTCTGTGTTTTTTAGGGTCAGGAGTTGACTATCCGTCAGATTGCTCTTCTTGGCTTCAGAGACTTGGTATTGCTAAAAGTAAAATTGGAAGAAATTCTTCCTCTGGTCCAGACAAAGCTTCCAGCTTCAATTGTCCAGATGCTGTTAATTCTGCAGGTGGGGAGCCTCTGCTCTTTGTCTGACTCCACTTGGCTATCTTGACCTCATTGAACTAGCATGAACACTGGAAAGGAGAGTGGGGAGGGTGGAGGGTGTGATGAAGTGGAAATGATGTGTGGTTATTTCAGAGTGGTAACTGTAGAAATGAGAGCTGAATTTGGATGTCCTGAGCTTTCCTAGAAACAGGTAAGGATGTTGCCTTGAAAGAGACTGGTGTTTGTATTTTCTTGGTACCTCTCCTCCTTATCTAGGAACAGTCTCAGGACTCTTCACATAAATTTTCATTTCCCAGCTTCTCTGAATGCCTCTTTGTGCTCTAGTTCTCCTGATTTCTCAGCTTTGCAATGACAGTGTGAGTCTCTATCACAGCAGATAGTGGAATTTGAATGAGCTGTGGCTTCTGGCTGTCCAATGCCAGCTTCTTGGCTGGCTGGCATGCTAAGCAGTGCCCTTGAGAGGAGAAATACCTTTTGTCAGTATATGCTATACATCTTTCAAAGGCCTCTCCCAAGAGACCCAGAGCTTCTGTGAGAACTATCCACTTCATCCTGACCTCAATAGATTACTTTCCAAGCATGCCAAATACAGCTGAGTATATAAACTGTTTAATCTTTTTCTATATTGCTCAGCCTGACAGTCCTGTAAAATGCCATATTACTTGTTTGGGTTCACAGAATCATTCATAGAATGCTTTGGGTTGGAAGGGACCTTAAAGATCTTCTAGATACAACCACCCTGGCATGGCAGGGACAGCTTCCACCAGATCAGGATGCTCAGAGCCCCATCCAACCTGGCCTTGAACACTTCCAGGGATGAGACATCACTGTTTGAGTGACTCACCACCCTCACAGTGAAGATTTTCTTTCTAATAACTAATCTAAACCTACCCTCCTTCAGTTTAAAGCCATTCCCCTTGTCCTGTCACTACATGCCCTCTTAAAAAGTCCCTCTTCAGCTTTCTTGTAGGCCCTTTCAGATACTGAAAAGACACAATGAGGTCTCCCTGAAGCCTTCTCTTCTCCAGGCAGAACAACCCCAGCTCAACCTTTCCTCACAGGAGAGGTGCTCCAGCCCTCTGATCATCTTTGTGCCCCTCCTCTGGATTTGCTCCAACAGATCCATGTTCTTCTTGTGCTGGGAGCACTGAACTCCAGAGCAGAGTAGAGGGGAAGAATCACCTTCCTCAACCTGCTGGCCACACTTCTTTTGATGTAGCCCAGGACACCATTGGCTTTCTGGACTGCAAGTCCAGAAAAGAATCGAGCTTCTCATTCACAAACACACACTCAAGTCCTTCTCCTCCTCAGGGCTCCTTTCAATCCATTCTCCACCCAGCATAATATTTGTGCTTGGGATTGCCCCAACCCATGTGCAAGATCTTACATTTGACCCTGCTGAATGTCATGAGGTTTGCACAGGGACTTCTCAGGCCTGTCAAGGTCCCTCTGGGTGGCATCCCTTCCCTCCAGCGTGTTGACAGCACTACACAGCTTGGTGACTTTTATTTCTTCTCCAGTATGATAAGTGTCTAGGAATGAAACTTTCTGAAACACAATTACAATTTCAAAGGGGCTGAGCTCCTAGTTCTGTATAATTTCTCACTGTTCTGATGTTCCAGTGACCCAGACTATAACAGTGGGACATACCTCAATTTCCCAGAAATATTATTTTAATAAAAGAATCTTGAGAGCAAAGAGGGTCTCAAAGCAACACATTTGAGATAAAAAAGCTTATTGAGGCTTTGCAGGAAGTTAGATTTGAACCGTTTCTGAAATTACTGTTAAATTGGTTAGTGTTATCTGTCATCTTCATACCTGTAAGCTGAACCACAGAAGGTGCTTTGCTTGCAGTCCTGCCTAGGAAAATAGCAGTACTTTGCCCAAGGTGTGTTAAGGCTTTTCTACAAAGAGGTTTCCTGGTAGAAGTGCCCTGGTGTAATTATATCATTGCAGTACACTGTGCACTTCCTCAGTGTGAGCATACCTCGAACCTTCCTGTCCCTTGGTCAGAAAAAAGAGCTTGCTCCTCAATGTGCACGAGGTTATGACTGTGACTTGAACAAGGAGGTTGACCTGAATGGCACACAAACCTCCATTTGGTCTTATCAGCTGCACATGGTCTACCAGAATGGTTGGGATATTCCAGTGCGGAGATATTTGACAGACAAAGGCTTTACTCAAAAATCTTTTAAGGGTAATGTTGACTTTTTATGTTTGATTTTCAGAGTGTCCATGAGCCTACTGGCCCCAGTGAGGGCTACCTACAGCTGGAAGAACTGGTCAAGCAGGTGGTATCACCATACTTAGGTTTGTGTGAGGATCACAGCTCCTCTGGTAGCACCTGCTTACTTGGTAAGACATGCACATCCTACAGAAGCTATTATTAGGGTACACAGGTTGGTTAGTGTGAGGCAGTGCACGTTTGTGCTGGAAATGGAGACAGTGCATGACTCTGTGAGAGACAGAAAACAAAGTCTAAAACACCCTTGAGAAGGTTCTGTTTTCTACATTTCTGAATGTAGATTTTTGTGACGGGCTTTTTATTTTCCATGACTGACTGAACTATTAGTGTCCCACCATTGCACGCACGCACACAGACAGACAGACACACACCCATGAAAAGTCTCTCTTCTCTCTGGAGATGGACAGGATTTAAAACTCTCTGGTCCGTGACTGGGGTACTGCCTTCACCCCAGTGAGAGACCGCACCTGGTCCTTTGCTGCCTGCTCTCTGTCCCTGCTTGCTACCCTGCTTCACCTGCCTGAATTCCCATGCTCACTGCTGCATCAACCAGTCTTTGCAAACTGCAGAACTGTTGCATGTTAATTCTGAGGGATTACAGGGATTCTTGCATGGAGCCTTCCTTCCATCTGAGGATCCTGTTTAAAAAAAGAAGTAATTACAGATCTGTGTTTGAACTATGGACAAATGGGTTTAGATGAGAGAACAGGCACTTCAGGAACAGCATGCTTATAGTGGGAAACTTCTTTATACATGATCCAGGAGCTCTGCTTGCACATGTGGCCAGCCAGAAGAGACTGGCTTGCTAATGGGCATAGTGATAGTGATTTGATAGTCCAGAAGATTTAAATAGAAGAAGTGAAAAAAGCTCCAGTCTCTCTCTGTTTTGATAAGCTTTAGCCTTTGCTTCGACACAAGTTGTAGCAAGCTGGAGACACACAACCTGTCTTGTACTATGCCTTTGAAGCATAGAGGAAAGGATGGTCTTGTGGTAGAAGGACTTATCAGGACTCAGACAACCTGTACCTGTAACAAACTCATGGCATCGCTTTAGGCAAACTATGGCTCAAGGGTTTTGCTCTTGTGATTGCTGGGCAATCACATATCCAGGTATGAGGCCCTGGACCCAGAGAGTCAGGCAAAAGACAGTAAAGAAGAGGATTTGTCTGGAGGGTCTCCCGTTGCACCCCATCTACCAGATGGATTACAACCACAGCTATAAAGAAAAAAAGAAGGGTAGTTGTAGTAGGCGACTCCCTTCTGAGGGGATCTGAAGGCCCTGTATGTCGACCAGACCCATCCCACAGGGAGGTCTGCTGCCTTCCCGAGGCCTGGGTGAGGGATATTAGTAGGAGACTCCCTGAGCTAATTTGGCTCTCTGATTATTATCCACTGCTGGTGGTCCGGGCTGGCAGTGATGACATTAATGAAAGAGGTATCAGGCTAATTAAAAAGGACTTCAAGGCACTGGGTTGATTAGTTAATGGAACAGGAGCACAGGTGCTCAGGTGGACTACCCTCAGTTCCTGCAGTAGCAGGGATGAATGAGGAGAGGAGTGGGAAAACCCATCTTATCAATAGGTGGCTAAAGGATTGGTGCCACCGGCAGAACTTTGATTTTTTGAACCATGGGGCAAATTCTATGGTTCCGAGCCTGCTAGAGTCAGATGGGCTCCATCTGTCTAGCAAGTGCAAAAGGACTCTAGCCTGTAAGTTGTTGGGGCTGATCAAGAGGGTTTTAAACTAGGTTTGAAGGAGGAAGGGGTTGAAACCAGGTTCTCCAGGGATGAGCTTAGGGGTGAAAACCAGAGTTAGAAGTGAAATCAGCAGCCCAGCTGAAGTGCATGTACACCAATGCACACAGCATGGGTAACAAGAGGAGCTGGAAGCCATCGTGCAGCAGGAAAGCTATGATGTAGTCACCATCGTGGAAACTTGGTGGGATGACTTGCATGACTGCCATGGGTGGCTACAAGCTCTTCAGAAGGGACAGGCAAGGTAGGAGAAGTGGAGGGGTGGCTCTCTATGTTAGAGAGACTCCTGAGACTGTAGAACTTGAAGTCAGTAACAATAAGGTTGAGTGCCTGTGGATTAGATTCAAGGGGAAGGCCAACAAGCCTGACATCCTGGTGAGAGTCTGTTACAGACCGCCCAATCAGGATGATGAGGATGATGAATTATTCTACAAGCAGCTGGCAGATGTCTCAAAATCACCAGCCCTTGTTCTTGTGGGTGACTTTAACCTGCTGGATGTCTGCTGGGAACTCCACACAGCAGAGAAGAGGCAGTAGTATCTTAAGCTTGATTTAAAGTGGGAGAGGAGAGCAGCAGGGATAGGTGTGAAAAGGGACAGGACCACTCACAGAGGGGAATCGTAGAGGGCAATATTCCCACCTGCTCTTCTGTTAGCACCCTTCTTGCTTTGCCTGTGTAAATTAGCTGTAACCTGCATTGTAAGGATGGAGTATGCTGAAGGGATCCAGTTTTCTAAGAAACAATGTTTATATTGGGGATAGGAGAGAAGATAAAATTAAAACATCCACCCTATTTCCTGATATATGAAGCCTAATATCACTGCTGATCTGAGTTTGCATCCAAGTTTATATTCCTTGTCGTAAGGCACCAAAATAGAAATAAAATGTCTGGTTAAACTATGCATGACAACTCTCTTAAGAGGCTGTCTTTTGTGGTCAAGAAAGTAGAGGGGGTAAAGTAAAGCAATAAATGAATATTCAGAGCTTAGCCTAATTTCACCTGATTCTCGTCAGAAAGGATTTTAATTTTCTTGCACAAAAATCATCTGTGGATATTTTTTCATTGAAAGAGTTGGGTCCCAATGCCCTTCAACACTACAGCTTGCTGTGGCTTGAGCTGCAGATGAAACCTAAAGAGTACATGCATTGTAACCAGCCTCAAAAATTATTTGTGCATACTCCTAAGCAAAAAATGACCCAGTTTGAATGAATGTATTACTGGCAGTAGCAGGGTGAAGTGTTGTCATAGCTTGGCTGCTGCCAGTGGTGGAGTTTTGGCTGCTCACCCGTGCCTCCCTGCAACAATATCAAGTTTGTTTTCTGCTTTTGTTCCTGATGCAAGCTTCCAAAACTCTTTTATAACCTTCAGTGATAAGTGCTTTGCTTTGCATTTTGTTACTCTCTCTCTTACGCTCACCAGTCTTGGTGTAAGCCTTTTATATGGTTTAAAGCCTTCTGAGTTTACGAAATGAGACCCTGCATTGGGGTGAGAAATTGGTGAGAAACGAGACAGGTATGGAATGGCTTTATCAGCTGCTGTGGCGATAGACCACAGGAGGTGTTTAACATCACATGGCAATGCTGCACAGCAGTGGAAGCCAACAGGTGCTGGCTGATTCATATTGTCTGATTCAACCTGCTAGGGGAGTGAATTAGAGTGAGCCAAGGCACAAAGTCTGACCCCTGCCTTTCTGAAGGCTTTCAGCATCAGAATTGAAATAGCACTTCATGATACGGGGCTGGGGGCTGTGCCTTGAGTCTGAGTTTTAAACCAGTCATTACTTCCCCTTAATGATTTGCTGAGGAGATCGTACACCCCATACCCATCAATTCTGTGTCTCTGCCTTATCCCCGCTCCCCAAGTGCTGTCCTTCTCTCATGTGCCCTTACCCCAGGCTGTTGTGGACTGCTCCTGTGCACTGTTAGGTGTTTTCTGTGTCTAGCACCCAAACCAGACTTGTAAGGTGGATGAAATTTTCTTTTTCTTGCATGATCTTTGAAAAATACAGTGGGATAATGCCAGCAGAACAGCCTTTACCTAGGCAGATGGAGAGACAATGTAAGCATCAGGACTTTCACATTGACAACAGATAATGACACCTCCTGAGAGAAATTTTTCAGAGGAAGGGATGGCAACTCAAGTCCTCTCTGAACATTTTTTTGGTGACTTGTGCCGCTTTAGTGTCAGTCATTTTAGTGAACCCCCACGTGAGAGCTCCTACTCAGTCCTCATCCCTGGATAAGGACAGAGATCACCAGGATGCTCAAGAAAGTCCCTTGACTGCACTTGTGACTTTCTGACTCACTTTTCTCTCAGGCACCAGCACCATTGCCTTATAGCAGGACAGGAGGTCTCTCCTTACTGTGGGAGAGGCAGATCTCCTTTCCAAATCCCCAGCAGTATGAACCAGTGAGCACCTGATTGTTTTCCAGTGGTAAGGAGGTGGGACACTACAGCTGCACACTGAATTCTCTCTGTTCCCTGAGGCCAGCCTAGCAGTTGGAGCAACACTTCATCTGTGCGCTATTGACCATTCCGGCTTCCTTTTTCTCTTCCAGAGAGACGGTACTCCAGATCTCGCCCTAAGACTGATGTACTGAATTATCCATCTCATGTGACGACCCGGCAGCCCAGTGAGATGGCCCTGAGCCCACTGACAGAGCAGGAGGGTGAGGCTTACCTGGAGAAATGTGGTAGCATCCGTCGCCACACCGTTGCAAATGCTCACTCGGATATCCAGCTCCTGGCAATGGCCTCCATGATGCACACAGGAATGGTCATAGAGGAATCAGACAGTACTGACAAGTGCCTCCTCCTGCAGCCCACTTGTTTCAGCCACAGACAGTGCTCCAGTGAGCCCAGTATCGCCGATGGGCCAGAGGGAGTCGTGGCAGCAGCAAGTAGGCAAGACTCTGCAGAGCTGAACTGCACATCGGTCAGCTAGAAAAAGTCTTGCTGAGGAGTGAAGAACCATATGCACTAAGCTGGACAAAGTGTAGTGTCATCCTTGCTGGGAAAAAAAAGGAAAAATTTTAATTTTGCTCATGTAATTGAAATGGCCTCAAGGGTTCTTATGTCTGAGAATGCTCTCTAGATTTGATTTTTTACCAGTGTGGGATCATTGTTGATGGAGGTACCAGGCTGCTCCCAAATGACCACTGAGGACTGCAAAGGTTTTGCTGTTTAACAGCACAGTCTACCTTCTGTAAGCTTTCTCCCTCTACTAGTATAAACCTTTTGTCATCAGGTTTCCTTCTGTTTCTTTGGTGTGATACAAATTGACCTCTTTCTGCTTTTGTCCATCTTTCACAGCGTTGTGCTGCTTATTTGCTCTTCATTCCTGCAGTAGAGACCTCTGTGCTAAATGTTCTCTTTGGTTCTGGTGCTAGTGTGGTGAATGCTGAGGACTGCATTTCTCTCTTTTAAAGTTGAACTCAGGGATGAAACCATTTGAGTCCTCCAGAAAGATCTGCTGAGGTGGCTTGTGAGAGAAGGAGATCCTTCACTTTGCCTCCCATGGGCATGGATGAAAAGCCCAAATTGGAATGAATTAGACCTACTTTTTTCCCAGACCTGAAAAGAACTGAGTGTACATGGAGTCTGAGCTGAGTACTTCATATGTACTTTATTTGGTTCCAGTCATATCTTGGGGGTTGTGGTGTAAACTGCGCAAAGGAGGGCTGGGTGTGTAAATTGGGTGTAAAATGTAATCCTGAGCATCCTGGCATTTGGCATCAATTCGGTCTCAAAATTTCTGTGGTGATAGGGCTACAATGAAAAGAGACAACTAAACAAATTCCTTTGGGAAGAAGATGCTGGGCAGTCTGCATTTGTGCATTTGTGCAAGAGACATAAAAGTGCTCCTCAGCACTGGGCCATCGTGATGCTAGACCAGGAGGTGATGAACAGGATTTCATCCTTGGGGCTACCTTGGTAATTCTAGCACTTGCAGATTTCATGAGACCAAAGATAACCAAAGGGGTGTAGAAAGGAATCCTGTCTCAGTGGTGTATTCATGAAGTGCTCCTGACCTCCAGTGGTATCTGTCTCAGTGCAGTATTGCTTTTAAGATAAGTGAGGGCTCTTTGCAGTCCTTGGTTTTGTTTTTATTTTGAAGATTAGGAATGGTCCAGTTTGCAAGTGTCTGTGGCAGGCACTGCAGTCCGCAGTGTCTGCTTTGTAGCATCACTTGGTACTCAAATGCTGCTTCTATGGGAACAGAACCAATCTGTTCAAGCTGTCCCTTGGGATACTCTGCCGATGTCTTGCTAAGCAGATTTGCAAGTGTAATTACAGGCTTGAAGGTGAACTGAAATGCTGCCTTAAATTCAAATTCCATTAAAAACTATCATTTGAATCTGTAAATAAATAGGTCTTGACAAGGAAACAGAAGGTTAAGATGAGCCTTCGGGACATTTTTTTGCTATGACATTAACTGCAGAGTTTGCCCTGCTTCTGTTGGGCACTAAACATTTCTGCTCCACTGGCTGCACTGAAAGTACAGTGCCGATCTGTCAGTACTTGGCCTTAGTAGCATGTGCAGCAAAAAGAAAGCAGACTAGCATTATTATCTGGCAACAAAGCATCTAAAATACCAGCTATGAGCACAAGCCACACCATCTTTATAAATGAGGTTGTTGCTTTTTCTACTGTAGTTTGCAAATGTTGAAAGAAATATTGAAAGTGCCTACTTTTCCTTGCTAGGCACCCTAATTGGCCTTTGTGCGAAAATACCAAATGTTTTGATCACCAGCTGTGCCTACATGTTGAAGAACAGAGCTTGAGTTGTGCTGGCTGCCTCCTCCTCAGAGCATGCACAGTCGCATGGAATGCGGCTTTAAGCCGCAGGAAGATGTGGCTTTAAGCAATCTTCCCTTCAGATGGATTATAGGATAAATTGCTCTCCTATTCGTAAATTAGACTGACTGACCAGGCCAACTTATTTGTTGTCTTCTGCCCCAGGGTGGCCGTGGACTGTGGTGAACCTTCAGAATCTCTGTGCTGACAGCCAAACCTAGTAGACCATGCTGGTCTCACCTTGGCACAGTCCCTCCAGCCTGGGGCAAATGAAGGCGTCCTGCTTAAAAGTAATTTCTTTTGCCCCTTGCAGTGATTTAAAGCCTTCTCTTAGCAGCATTGAGGTATGTGGAGAAGTGATCACCTTGCAGCATTTCAGTTCACTCTTATGAATGCTTTTCTTCTTTATGTTTCTCCTCTCTCCGTTTGACTTTTGTAAATACCCAAACCATTTGGATTTGTGAGCAGTGCCCTCTTTTATGCTGAAAATTAGAATGATTTATTTATTTCCTGTCATATTGTTGGATCATCTCTAGGGCTAATAAGAGTTAGTCCTGATTTTAACTTGAATATCTTTAATTTTACTCATATGTGTAATTTGAATTATATTGGTTTTGTCTCTGTCACTTTGCAAAAATTTGCACCAGGCCCTCTGAATCATGCACTTCCCCAGCTGTTTTGTTTTTTAGGGAGAATTAAAGCTGGCGGCTATACTTTGTAAGCTGAAATAAACAAAACCTGTTCTGTAAACCACACCAAGTATATGGTCATAAGTACCACTTTTACAGCCACGTGAGATTGCACAAGCCTCTGCAAATGCAGACCTCTTACAGGTAAACTGGGTGAACCTGGAAGTGATTTGAAAGCTGTGCCCTGCAGCTACCATGATGGTAGCACTGAGTGTCTGCTCTCCATTGAGGAAGCTCTCAGTCCCTTGGAAGCAGAAAGCTAACACAGTCCCTAGGCTAGAGCTGTGGCATAAGAAACACTTGCATTTTGGATACAGGGATCTGGTTTGGGGTTGCACTTTGCTCCCTGTGTTACACAGCCAGGGCCACAGGGCAGGTCTTTTCTACCCTCATGGTAACCAACCTGAGAAAACCTCCTGGAAATACTGTCAGAATGGGAAGAAGGGATTTCTCTCACCACCTCTTGAAGTCTGTTACCTTCTACCTTGATAATTACCTAGACTAAGTCACTTCTCATCAAGACCGAGTCTGTCTTCTCTTTTTACTCAGTTTCCTTAAGGTAAGTGATTAATTCTCTCTGTCCATACAATTCTGTCATAAACTTACAGAGGGGGGCCTCAGCAGGAAGCTATTCTTAGTACAACTTGTCTTTTTCCTGACATTCCCCATAGGCAAGTAGCATGTTTTTATTGCCAGCAAGTAGAGCTTCTTCAGTCCCTGGTTAGGTCAGCAGCAACTTGGTTTATTTTTTTGTTTGTTTGTTTCAATCAGAAGAAATGCAGTAGATCTTCGTGCTGTCACTGATGGCAGCAGGGGGAACACTGCAGGGTTTGAACTGATGCTGAGGTAAGGTATTGCCCTTTCTTTTTAAGTCCAAATGGCAATGGATTCACCTGGAAGGAATATCCTTTTGGCACTTTTAACTGAGTCAACAGACTGAAAATGTTTGGCTCTTGCAGGCAGCCTGTGTGTGTCCCAGAGAGGAGAAACTGAGGGTCTAATGAGAGACAAATTGCGGTATCTATAGTGTGCTTACTTATATGAACTTCTTAATCATGCTGTAGCCTTGGAGTAGCAGGTTTTCCTTACTGGATTCCCTGTTCCTTCCCAACCTGGACTCTTCCCCATACCAGCAGCAGGACTCCTGGGCCTGGCACACACGCTGTATTGTGTGTGGGGGGTGTTCCAGTGACAGTAAGGGGAGCAGTGTAGAAACTCAGCCAGAGTTGATGACACTGACTTGCACCGAGTTGCCAGAACCAGAATTGAAAGCTCTGTGCTAAGAACAAAAAATGCTGCCAGTGCAGAGGGCTGCAGGCAGGGCCTTCGTGACACTCAAACTCCCACTCTTGATGGGTCTTTCTCATATTTCGAAAAGGCTGAAGAAGGGTGGTTTTTAAGAATAGGGGCAATACAAGTGAAAGTGAGCATCTCTCCTCATTCTCAACTGAATCTGGAGGCAGATAAAGATCTCTTCAGCTGTGAAAATTGCAGCCAGCAGAACAGAAGCAAGCGATTGTGTTTTATCCAGTGATTTAAATGTAGCAGACACCTACCTGTCCATGAGGCCGGGGCCCCTCCTCACAGAGCCCTCTCCATAGCTCTGCCAATCTCCTATGCAGTTTGGTCAGTGACGTGTCTTCAAGGGGCTGTGGAGGAGGCTGGGAAAACCCATCCTCTTTGTCCTTTGTGGTAAACCACCCACTCCTATAAGAAATGTAAGCTTTATAAGAAGCCACAAACTAGGCATCAAAACTCCCAGAAGAGGCCAGTCTGGCTGTATTCCCTGGCTGCCCCCTTCCCCACCTGGAACAGGCCTCTGCAGGGCCAGCACAGCTTCCCACTCGGGAAAGCACGTGAGGAGGCAAGACCTATCCTGATACAGATGCCCCACGGTGCCCAGGGAGTTTCCTAGGGGTACATGAGCTGGAAATTCAGCCCACAGTCAACATGCTCCATAGGAAAGTTGCTGCAAAATTTCCTCTTAGTTAAAAGTGGGAAGAGTGGGGTATTTGGTATTTCCCTGAGCAAAGGGGAGGTAATTAGTCATCCTATTCGTGTTTCAAGCATGGAAAGCAGATCTGGTAGCACAACAACAGGTTAAATGGGATATTCTCACTTTTCCACACATTTGGAGAGTGCTTTCTCTTCATCTTGCTATCCCAACAACTCCAGGTAAGGGCACCAACTACTCAACTACATAAACAAAAGCTTTAAAACAAAAGCAACTTAGCAGCAAAGGTACAGCACATTCTCATCAGTATGGTGCTAAAATTGCATGCTGTAATATAGCTGCCATGTTCCACCTGAGAATTGGCTGCCCTTTATTCATTACTTGCACCCGAAGATACTTGGAGTACCCTTGTTAGTTACATCAAACCATTATTTCCATCTGGAAGAGCAAGTGCTGTATAATTGTTGCACCGGTTCACCTCTCCTCTGTGTGTAAGCTCATCCCTTCCAGGGGACAAATCCTGCCCCAAGCATTTCTCCAAGTTTTGTGAAAGCTGTCCTAAGTACACAAGGAGTGACAGCAGAGATGTATGAATAGTTTGGGTGCATTTCTCCAACCGAAATGATGAAAAGAAGTAACAATTCCAGTGCAGAAATAAGTGAACTGAAAGTTGTCGTTATTCATCAGTAGTTGCTGGCTGTGTCTGGCTGACACTCTCTGGGCAACAAATATGGGTTTGTGTGTAGGAGACTCACCTGTATGGAAGAATGTATGGGAGAGAGCAATGAAGAAGACATATATGGAGTTAAGGGAAATAGCTGACTAGATTAATCTTTACCCAAATAATTGGTATAATATTATGTAGGGTAGAGGCTTAATTATAGTTTGATCATCAAACTTTTCAATGAGCAAAAGGAAAGCAAATTCCTTTAAAAAATCTCCAAAAACTAACAACTAAACCAAAAGACAAGGGTCTCACCTACCCTAAGCACCTACAGTGGCACAGAGCAGATTTGTAGTAGCTATAAATTGCAGCAATATTTAGGGACTTGCTGTTTCAAGTGTCTGTCATTAGGCTTCAAAGCTAACTCCTGCTTATGCCAAGAGCTAGTTTGTAATTCTTGTGGCATAATTATTACAGACTGTACAGTAACAACTTCTGTTACATTGGAAAATAGATTGGAGTCACAAAGCCATTCTTTCTATCTTGGAATTTATGAAGTCAGCTGCACTGGCTCATGTACAGGAGTTTTTGCAGTCGCTAAAATAATTGAAAAAAAAATTTTTTTTTAAGCTGAAAGAATCAGTTCTGTGAGAATTGCTTGGGCTTCTCAAAGAGCAGACAGACCAGTTACAAGATGCTCAGATTCAATTTAGTACTGCAACAGGACTACCTAGAAAGTGACAGAATTTATGTATGTTAAATATCAGTGAGAAACCACAGACTGTGCCATAAATTACCTACCCTGTAGGCCTCCAAGACTGATTTACACCCGCTATTGGTAAGCCAGCCCTCTTCTCCACTGTGGATTTTTAATCCATTTCACACTAAATGGTTATTGACTAAGTTATCAATGGTTCTTGGGGCAGAAACAAGTTCAGCCTTGTCTCCTACATAACTATCTCTAAGGGACAGCTTCATTATGACTATGCTAAACCCACTGTCTTTGTCCACATGCATCCCAGGCCAACGGATTATGTATTTACTGTGTGGTTGGATATAAGAGATGAGAGAGGCTGTTCTGCAGGAGGGAAGTGATGGTACTTGTGAAAAGTCCCCCTTAAGCAGTATATGCACTATATTTAGAAGAAACACCCTGTTCTAATAATTTCTCTTTCCCCTCACCCCCTATGGTGGGAATGGGAGGGGAGTTCTGATGTGCATTTTGGGACTTCGAACATGTTTGAGTGAGTGCTGGGGGGGGGGAGAGGGGAGGGAATTTCTTGTGGTTTTCCCCCATCCTGGGGGAGGGAATTTCTAGTGGTCTTCCCCCATCCTGTTTTTTTTCAGAAGATAGTGGTGGCTGAGCAGCACTGCGTTTGGCAGTGCAGATGGAGCTGCTCTGAGCTCCTCCATTCAGCCTGTCACTGGATCTCATCAGTCTCTCCTCTGCTTCTGAAATGTTAGACATCTTTCTTCCCTGAAAGCCCTGCAGGAGATTGGAGACATGCTGCCCACTGCAGCCATAGTTCTGGTTAAATGCGATACCTCATCCTCAACAGCACTGTGTTAAGAAAACTCCTGTCCAACCGTCCAGGAGCCACTCTAGGAGTTACACTCTCACACCTGAGCTGGGACTGAAGACCCTTCACAAAAGCCTGAGCTGGATCCCTCCTGAGAGGCATGAGCTGTTATTTTGTTATTGCACCATAATTAAATTGTTTTAAAGAATGAGATGTCTGAGACACAGAGTTGAACCAGTAAGGAAACCTGGTCTGACTGTGTGAGTGTGGTGTGTGTGTGTGTGGAGCCAAGTGGGGCACCCATTGGGTCACTGGAGCCACCTGATGCGAAGGGGCTTCAGTTCCAGCTCAAGTGGTGGGAGTGTGTCTGCCAGAGTGGCTCCTGGATGGTTGGACAGGAAAGTTTCTTCAACAACTGCAGCAGAATGTGGCTGCCACCATCTAGTCATTGCCATCAGAGAGTATCCCTTAGTCTTTAAAAGTCCTGCTCACTGAAAACAAAGTAACTGCTGAAGTAAATGAGACCTGAGAGCATTTGCCATAAGCTTCCTCTTAGCTTATTAAAATGTATAAACTGCTGTGAACAAGACACCCACACTTGTCAGGCAAATGAACAAAAAAGCCCATTTTCAAAAGCTTATTTCTTTGACTTTACCCAGTGCTTAATCTAATCCACTGTTTGTCTGCATCCATATAGCCGTCCTCCTTTGCTTGGGGTTTACAGTGTAGAGAGGAAATTGTTCCAGATCTGTACCCCTCCCACCTTCCCAGTTTTTTCCTCACTAATTGTCACGATTAGCTGATTGACTTGCAGAGCTGGTGATGTCTTCAAG